CCCGCAGCTCACCGTCCCGGTCAGAGCCGAGCCGCGTCCCTCCCTGCAGCCCCAACGTGCTGGGGGCCGCGGGGTGCCCCCCCCCATTCGCCTTTCATTACCAGCGGAGGACGAGGGCGACGACAGCACTCAGGGCTCCCGCAGCGCAGGCAGGTTTCGGGCTAAATGGCCCCGAGACAGCGGGAGGCTGATTTTCCTCCCTTTTCATCCCAATTTGCGGGCCATTACAATTAGGGTCCGGGGGACCAGCGCTGTGACTGGGGTGATGCAGCTGGCTCCCGGAGAAGAACCTTTCACACCATTTTTTTTTTTTTTTTCTTTCCCCTTTACAGAAACTCTCGATTCTCATGATGCGGATGAGCTCGTCCATCAGGTTTCCCCACCCTGCGCGGTGTTTACCGTGCACTTCCTGCACGGGAAGCGTGCAGGGATGGAACTAGCCCAAAAATACCTTGAGGATGAGGAGTTTCGGGCAGCAGAGCTGGTCAGGAGGAGGGGATGAGGCCCTTTTGAAACTGCTCTTTCAGAAAAAAGACAAGGCGATCAGAACACTGGATTTCAGGTATTTTTATTTTAGTGTTCCATGAAACCAAAAGGCATTCAAAAACAAATAGGTACCCAGGCTAAAAGCAGACAGTATAAACAGGGAAAAATACATTCAGATCCTTCAATAATAAAACAATACATTTGATTCTTAAGGCCCTTAAAGTCAAGGTAAAGCACCTTGCTGGACATAAAATGCCAGTCCCCTTACGCCAAAGAAAGGCTTTAACTAGCATTGCCAATAGGAGACCGAGGTACGAGGTTTGTGCGGCGCTTTCACGGCCGGGGAAGTTGAAGCGTGGCTGGTGCGGGGCCGTGACCCCGCAGCGGCGCCCGTGCTGCTCCGGCAGGAGGCTCAGCACATGCAGCCACCGGAGGGAACAACCTCAGGGGCAAAAGCCAGACACAGCCCGGCGTCCACCTCAACGGCCACGGCCGTAACTGGCAAAGACGGCCGCCAGGAGAGGATATTACACGTTTTTAGGTTTCATCTCTACGGAGACCGCTAAGAGCGCGTATTACCGCTTTGTTTCTGTGCATGTAACTTCAAGATGCACATTCTGGCCAACAGGAATGCACATGATCCGAACTTCATAAAATCCACGCTCCAAAAGCCTCGCGCACAGCACCGTGGTGCCTTCAGCAGCCAGAGACTCAGTAGTACCCATATCGTTTTAAAATGAGGCCAGCAAAAAGCAAGAGTCCAGCCTTGCTTCCCACGCGTCCAGTTAAAGCTACCGATAATACCATTTTTGATTTTTGAACCGTTAAGTCACTGTTCAAAGGCACAACCAGTTTTTCTGACTCTCTGACCCAGAACATCAGAAAGCCGTGGAATGAAGTCTAGAAGACAAGTTTATTAGTGAGGTATAGGCAACCGTTTCTTTCCAGAGATCCACTGAGGCACAAGGAGGAAACAAATTAATCCTTCATCTTCCTCACTATTTCAAGGCACGAGAAGCAGCAGCAGTTTTCAGTAAGGCCACCCAGTACCACTCAAAATTAAAACCACCAGCCAAGAGCTGAAGATGCCGCTAAGACCTTCTGCGTTTCAGACCCTTCATTCACAGAAGAGGGTACAGCAGAAAAGAAATAACCCCTTCGCTGAAGACATCTGCTCAAATAAAAATAAAATTAGAACAAAGTACCTGAAGCCTTAGAAGACTCTTAACGCTTAAGACTTGTTTCAACTCAAGCCTCCCCTGAAGGAGAGCTCTGTCAGAAAAGCTCCAGACTTTGGTAGTTAGTCAGTTTACGGTAATAAAAAGGTAATTAACAGCATTTTGTGAATTTTCCAATAAACGTACACATCTCTAGGCAAATATATTAAACTACTCTTCACTACAAAAATACAGTATTTGAGAAGTCTCCAGTAGTTTTCAGTGTTTTATGAAAATAGTAAGCAGACTACTAACAGGTTGATAGTCGATCCAGCTAGTCTAGTCCCTCAATAAAGTGCTTTGCTGTAGAAAAACGGAGTTAGAGACTCCCCCCTTTCGAGCTAAGCCAGGAGCGACCCAATAGACCCTTTCAACTTCCGAAGGTAGGAGCGTTTGCTTTGGTCCTCTGCCACCCACGCTTTCGGTATTTCAACTTTCTTCTAAGCCTTGTACGGACTCTTGCAACCCTGATAAATCCCAGAGATGCAAAAGAGGCATCTGCTTTTTTTGATCTTTGACAAGAGCTTGCCAAAAAAAAAAAGCCACATTTAGTTTTTCAGTGGAGGAAGCCTCTTGCGGTGGCTGCTCGATAGCGCTCTGCTATTTGCCGTCCGATGAGATGGGGGGGAGAAGAACATTGTTTTTGTTGAGCTGCTGCAAAGCTTATTTGCCGTCCGATGAGATGGGGAGGAGAACATACCTGTGTCTGTTGAGCTGCAAAGCAGCCACACATTAAGGAAGCAGACTGAGGTATCGATTGTCTATCAAGACCAGCACTCTTTCTCAGCTACATAAAATTTTCATTGCATTCTGAGCAGCAAGTCACAAAGAAAACCAAATCAGGTTTGAGCGCTAGCTTTGTGACTGCTCCCACCTCCAGGGGAGGGCGATTTGGTTCCTCTCTTGGCTGTATAAGGAATGCACGAAAGAAAGCGTTGTAAGACTGATCATCTTTGGAGGTCATTCCAAGGTAAGCCCCAGCGCCAAAATCCAAGGTATTTAAATTTGATAAACTGCAATGGCGTAAAAGAAAAATCGTCACAGAACTCCCATACAGAGACATGGGCCACGCACGCATGCTGTGAAATCCTCACCTATTTAAGACTACAGAACAGAAACCAGGCGTACCTTTGCCTCCCTCGTTTGAACGACCTTCGAATCAGGAATTTGAAGCCTATAAGAGAACAGCTTCTGATTTAAAATGCACCTTTGGCCCAAATTCATTACTACCATTCCCATGGTAGACAAACGTACCATGACATCGCAATGTTTCCCATACCAAAAAACTTGTAAATCTTCCCCTTGGAGAACTGCTTTGAAACAACATGTACTTTATGAGATTAACTAAGCTTTGCTTCTTCCTTTCCAACATAAGGTTTAACTTGCATTCGACTTTTAGGGCATTAATTTCTTTTAAAATACAGCCCACACAGCCCTGGTCTGAAGCACACATCTTTGGACTTCTCCAGTGTAGTTATTAATATTTTTTTTTAAAAACAATCAAATCCTCAAGCTCTACTGTACAAGATTTTATATTGCACTACAACTTAAGATATGGAAAGAAGAGTAATTGATCTATCAAAGCCGCTACAGAACAAAACCATTAAAAGAGTCTCCATAAAGGATCACCAGTGCCTTGCTGGCAAGCAAAACACATCAAAACCCCTTCACCCTTCCTATCGCAATCAGCCTTTGGATTAGATGCCCGAACAAATCTTCCCAAATAATGGAAAGAAACCAAAAAATAAATATGATAGGTTGACTCCACCTCTGGACTCCATACACAAGACCTGATGTAACTACTAATCAAACTGAGAGTTGCTCAAGGCAGAAACAGGAAAGAGGTCATTTTCTGTGGGCAGCACAACCGGTACCACCTACTTCACATCGTCTCCTTATTAATCAAACTCCAGTGGCGGGAATTCAGTCCTTTGTTCAACCAAGGTCCCGAGAGTTTTTACATCTTTCCAGCTTTTTTGTTTCCAGACATTGAAACACGAAGAATGTTTGGGGTTTCTTCCATGACTCTGACAAGCAAGTTATCGATGTAGTCTTCAAGCTCACGCACCTGGAGATCTTTCTTGGTAATTGTATCCTTCTGTTTCAAGACCAGCTGGATCAGCTCATCGTGTGTTAGCTGAGCATAAGCATAGGCAGGATCTGAAGGATCATATTTCTTCGAGAGAGAAGAAAGGCAGGGTCATTACAGACATACCGGCATTTCAAAATAGCAACAGAACGGTATCTGGTAGCTGGCTTGTGGGATTTAAAGCACCAATGAACAACTGCACACACAGCGTTTGCAGAACCACAGCTGCTCTTCAACAGTATTACTGTGCTTCCTATCTTTTTAAAAAATAAGTTCTACTCAAAGGACATTTGGGAACATCAGTCATTAGCACTTTATTATTGAGAGGAGCAGGCTGCCCAGGGCCAAGCTGCGCAACGGCCAAGGCACTAACGACGACAGGGAGAGGCTGGCAGGCCAGGCAAGCGTTCTGCTACGAGGCACCTTTTGGGCCGTTAGCAAACCTAGCCTGGAAAAATTCACACAAAACACTGTCTCTACTCATGCACTTCCAGAATGCAGAATAGCTTTTTGAAAATATTTGGAGGAAAAAAGAGCAACTGCCTCAGAGTAAGTGCGTGCTACTTATGGCACAGCAACACAATTTATAGAGCTTAGGCAGTCTTCTCCAGAACAGAAGGCAGGCTCAGAGCGAGACAGACGGTACGCACGGTAAGCAGGCCATCGTTTTAGCATAAAATCTTTGCGTAATGTCAGTTCTGTAATTCAACTCTTCTCCAGTTTACACTGAAAGAATGTCATGCTGACCCCAGGCAGCAGCCCATCCAGCTTAGCGAAGATGCATGGAAGGTACAGCCATGCACCATCAACTACCACCATTCATAGACGAGCGCTGGGACAGCTACTGTTTAAAGCATACCAAAGACTAGGAAAGCCAAATTCAGGTTAAACAGCAAGAAACACCCATCTAGGCCTTTGGCATTTCCCTCTTATTGTAGTTATCACTGTGAAAACACATCACAACACAGCTTCTCTTCTGCTTTTAACCCTTAAGCAGACTTGACATGTACTTAGCAGCTTCTGCCAACTCCTCCAGCTACCTTCTCAGGCGCTACACCAGAATGCCAGCCCAGGCTTTTCTTTCACAGGGCGTACGCATACAACAGGCTCGCGTGACTACCTCAAGCATAATTTCTTATGTGGGATCAGAGCACCACACCAGAATGCTAATTGCAAATTTTCAACTCGTTCAGAATAGCAACGTGTCCGTTTGAAGCATTTAACTCGCATTTTTCTTCTTTTCCATTTACACCAGAAGGAGGCACTACAGTTATTTTGGTACTAACTTTTCATTTTCCCCAAAAAACCCTTAGATTCAATAACGGTACCCAGGGTTTTGCCCTGCTGACCCGAGATGCCTCTAGCCGTTCTGATCAACATGACTTTTAAGCTGCGCCTCAAGCGTGGAGGTCTCTTTTGAGTCCAAGATTATGCAAAAAGCTCCTTTAAATCTGAGCGATTATGCAAGCTGCACGGCTAGGCTTCTAGGAAGCAGCTGTGCTTTAATGGCAGGCGCCTGGTCTCTCAACCTCCACAGGATACTAATGCAACACATTACAAGGCAACAGCCACCCCGAGGTTACTTTTCCCACCTTCTCGGCTTTAAGAGCCACATACTTATTTCAGGGTGAAAATGAGCTTTGGGGACTAATCACGTCTGACAGTAAACAGTGACTCATTTGTCCAGTCTTTGGTGCAGGTCCAAGTTACACAGCTCCCACACGTCACCAACGGGACTATCTTCCAGGGGTAGCACCGCCCGTGAGTCACCCGTCGTTCCTGTCACAGCCACCTCATGGCTCACACACATCCCGCTCACCTCTGGGGAGTCAGAGGGCACCCCGCACTCCTCTCCACTGAGAATCCCCTCCGCAAACAAGAGGCGCCAATTCTATTACAGATCAGTTTGCAAGGAAAAAAAAATATTTAAAGACTGTCCCCACCTTTGGGCACTGACAAAAAGAAAGTTCAGGCCCCCCACGGTCTAATAACCACTGTTCTTTTTCTGCTCAGGATATATGAGATATGAGCCTAGGCAAACTAGCCCAAACACACAAACACTGTTCAATTTACTGCTTAAGCTTTGGTTTAAGGTGCCACTTTCCTCCATACCTTCACGTTCATCTCCAGCAGCTTTTCATTCATAGTGCTGATGACGTTCAGGTTTTTACTTTGAGACTTGTTTGCTGTGGCATTCATTGGCTTCACAGGATGGAGTCTGCAACATTAAAAAAAGGTTTATGCTGTTTAGGCAGTACATATAACACCAGCACTACAGAGATCTTCAGACTAAAAACAAATATAGCAAGAAATTGGGAAAAATTCCTACCCTCCTCTATCTCCAGAGAGATAAGAGATTCAGCTTTGGGAAGACAAGGCATTTCTGTCTAAGCTATAGGCTTTTTAGAGATATACTCAGTTCTCTTTCTACTATCTTTTCTGACTTAAGGCATTGGAAATAAAGCAGCAGTTTACAAGGGAAATACATCCTGAATGGTATGTCACAAAAGAAAAGCCAGGTCCGTCTACACAAGAAGGCAGTACACAGCAGCAGTTACTCTGATCTCTCACGCACTAGTATTTGAGCCTGACTTTCCTAATGAGAACATATTTGTGGTTCTTGCAACATATCAAATACTTCTACTATCCTGGGACACTCATATAGTACGCCTTTTCCAATCTGAACTTATGCCGTAAGCTGCCAAAAAGTGCTATCTTCATTTGCTCGAGCAGGATTTATATTGCCAATTTTAATACAGGAAGAAAATTTTACTCGTATCTCAGCAAATGCCGGCCCAGAAGCATACTAGACCCTCGACAGAGTTCTGCAGATAAAGTACTGAGGGCTGACAGGTCAGCGGCACTCTTCCTCGGAGAACAGTACCCCAGCAGGCAGGAGGAGCTGCAGACAGCTCCGGAAAGCAGCCACGCGTTCTTGGGAGAGAGAGGCTTTAGCTGCATCGCTTGCTGCGATTCACTTTGAGGCTCAGGAGGCTGGTTCAGCCAGGAAAGGAAGCATCCCAGTTTATCAGGCCTCCTGTGACCACTCTCCCATTTATGAAAAATGGATGAATTGCAGTCCATTTCCCCAATTTGATGAAATGACCCTGTTTCTTAAACTGTGGCCAAGTTTCCCTAACATTTCTCCTAAGAGGTAGCACTGTGATGAATGGCAGGTCCCCTCGAGTGCTCTGGGCATCCTTAATAGCTATACAGATTCATCTGGTGCCAGCAATGATCCTACGCTGGCATGACAGGACTCAGGCCCCGGCAAATCCACGGGCCGGAGGAAGTTAAGCCTGTACAATGCCACGTCACTGCAAAGCACAGTAAATTCCTGCAGCTGGAGAGACAGATCTGCGCTCACAGGAAGAAAAAGCAAGGCTCACATCAGCACTGAGATACCTTCTGTGTATTTCCCATATTCTCTCACCTGTGCTTAGGAGACACGGTTTCACCACTCTGCTGAGTTTGGTTAGGATATGTTTCAGAGGGTGAAACCCATGCCTGAAGAAGCTTCTTCTTGCCAGAATTTCCTGCTTTATCTGCGAAGCCCTCGGCTGTTGGCTTTTTCGGAGACTCTGCTCTACGACTTGGGGTGTCAGAGGGGAGAGAAAGAGAGGAAGAGTAGGGCTGGGAAGGACTTGACAGGGAGGAAGAGGAAACAGAAGGCTCAAAGAAGTCACGCTCCGCACGCTCCCCAACACCTACACTTATTTTCAGTCCTTGTTTCTCAAAATGACTATTATGCTCCCTGGAATGAGACGTCATACCTAAGCCTGAGTCAGCTACCTGGTTATTGACACTGTGAACATCTACTCTGGCAGGCAGCACGGGTGGTTTGCTTGGCTTACAAGTACCAGGAGCACTTCCTCCTCCTCCTGGGTTGGCCAAGGTTACTTGGGCTGCAGCAGAGCTATCAGAGCGCTCTTTCAGTTCTTCGTGCAAAGGCATTAAATCTGGGGACTGCTTTCCAGTCTCTGAAATGTTTTTATCACCTGCAGTGACACCATGGTTCTCCTGACAGTCACCCAGCAGCTCGTCATCGGAGCCTCCCTCCGGAATAACTGGAAGACTGGCCAGTTTCAAACCACGGTCTCCAGTAACGGGAATGGCAGACTTTAAATGTGTAAGACAGTCAAATAAATCATCATCACCTTCATTTTTTAAATGCCTATTACTGCTGTCATCTCTGAGCATCACTGGTGGAGTGATAGTCTCTAATGAGCCACTTTGGGGGAGGCACCCACGAGCATCTGAGGCTTTACCATTAGGTAATGGGAGCCCAGGCGCGGATTTTACACCATCGTCTGAAGAAGGCACATCACCACTTAACTCATCAGTCTGAGAAACTGGTGGGCACTTTTTCGGCATTACAGACAGCCGCGGTGCTGGCTTTGGAGTGACTAACGCCTCGCTGCCAGCCCTCCCTACGTCGGCTTCCCAAGGGGACAGCGTGCAAGCTCCCAAGGTTGGTTTGGCAGATCCTACTTGAGAAAATGAGTCATTTTTATCAACTGGAGTTGCTTGGGGCTCTAAGGTGGGCGCACATTCTTCTCGTCTCTTTTCACCAAAGATCTCTTGCTTCTCATTCAGCTCACTCTCGGGAGAAGGTGGCGGGTCAGCACCGATCTCTCTATTACTGCACTTTGAGAGAGGTGAGAAGTGTTTGCCATCCTTTGTGCAGGGTTCAGTATTTACACCACCTAGTTCCACACCACCCTGAACGGCGGTCTCGCTGTTTCGGATGGGACCTATGCTGTCACTAGAGAGTTTTGACGATGGGTAGCATCCTGCTTCCAGTTCGCGAGCAAACCCTGCTCGCTCTCCTGTTGCATCTGAACCTGTCAATAACATTTCACTGAAATCAGAGCACTGCTTTTCGCCTTCCTGCCCACCCACACCCTCATCACCTGACGTAACACCCTCCGATCCATCAAGGAGAAAGAACACAGATTTCCTCTTGCCTAGCTTACTTTTCAAAGAAGTCTCAACCTGAAGCTGGGGAGAATCGCACTGCTTCTCTGGAGCCAGACCAGGGTTGTCAGAAAGGGTGCCGAGAGGGTTTGACACAGCTTTGACATTACTAGTTGAAGCCACATCTGAAGAGCTCCCTAAAGCATTGCAACCAGAGTGTTTCAGCTCAGCAGGGTGTTCTGCCGAGAAACAGTCTTCATCACAAGGAAGGCAGAAAGGGGAAGAACTAGCAACAGCTTTGAAACCTGGCGCATCTGGTTCCCACCCAAGCTTGGATACAAAGGGATTATTGTCATTAAAATGACAATCAGAGGAGAGAGAAGGTGCGGGCAGGCGAGAGAGACCCTGGGAAGCCCTCCTATCAGAGCTTTCAGGACCGTGGCCCCGTGAGCTCTCCCCCCATTCAGAAGCAAAAGGATTATTAGCACTACCAGAGACCTGCCCAGGAAGAGGTATTTTGGAAACAGAAGCTGCAAGATGATGGGATGAAGGAAAACGGGCAATGCCTTCGGGATCCAGGGCCGCGGACGTCCTGCCCCACTCAGGAGTAAAGGGGTTCTTGCCATTCAAAAGCTCTGCAGCAAAAGGAGGAGGAGAAGTAATAGATGCAGGAGAACTAGTAATGTTTTCAGAGTCTGGCACTTTGACTTTTTGTCCTGTTTTAGAAATAAAAGGATTATTGTCACTACTGATACGGTGTACAGAAAGAAAAGCAGGAAGGGAATCAGGTGCAAGAGTAGGAAGCGTGGCTTTGGTTTCCTCCTCTGAAGACACGCCCAGTCTGCAAAAAGGGACAAAAAACTCGCATGTCACTTGCAGATGAAACACGAGGCAGGAACAGACAAGCTTTAGCACCAGACTCCATCAACTCCTAACACTGGAGATGAATTATACTTGCAAGAGACCTCAGAGCCTATCTGACAGACTTTACATACTTAAACGTGTCTTTACAAAGCACTCAATTTATGTCAGAACACTTCTGCTGTAGAGTTTGCACAGGTTACTGCGGTGGCTGCTTTTAAGCATTATCTTGTCTTTTGCACCCCAAGCAATTTTATTAGTACGTAAGATACTTCATACGCAAGACATTTAAACATGAGAAGCACTGAAAATAAGGAGTTACAGACAGACACAAAACGTAGCCTTATTAGTACGACACACCCATATACATATAAAAACACACACAGTTGTTTTTTTTTAATATATATATCTGAAGGATAAAGGAGCGGAATTTCCAAAGAAGCCTTGTGTACGAATTCACACAAATGTCCTTCACGTTGCTGTGAACAATGCCAAAAGCAGAAGAGCTCCAAGATTAACACTTTTGAAGACCACAACCAAATACAGAAGAGAAAAGTAGAGATGTTAGAACTGGTATTTCAGCCCCTGGGTATGTTCAAGCCACACAGCTCAGAAGAATGTTAGTTTTCGCAAGAGATCCAGCAAGAAAAATCACCCCTACAAAGATGCCTGCACTCAGAACCACTATTTCAGCATCACTTCTAAGGAATATCCCTATATCAATCTCTTTTTCATACCGAGAAAGAACTCGGAATTGTTATTTGTTATTAAAGGGCCCAATGGCCAGCTTAAAACCACCAGGTACCCTGCAGAGCAAGACGCTTCTGCCGCACGCAGGATGCCAGGTTGAGAAGTGCTGCTCCGTGGCAGGAAGCAGCCTCGTTACAGCCTGCCACCACCGCGGCACGTCGCTGTTTATGTCAACCTCTGAAGCAAACACGACTGACCTGGGCTTGACAGCTTTGGTCTTCGCCGGCGCAGCAGCTTTTTCAGGTTTCCGTTCTTCCTCAAAAGGGTTGAGCGGCTGCTTATTTGCAAAGACGTCTTCTGCGCGGTGACCGTCTTCTGAAGAATTCCCTCTGCTTAAATCTGCTGGAAGTTCAAGATGTTTGGCCTCTTGTTCGCTCTTCTCTTCTGGAACTTTGTTTTCCTCATCCTGCAGGGTCCTGTCAGGAATATTCTCAGCATCAATGGTCTTCACTGCTTCCTTCTTCCCTGTGACCAAAGAGAGCAAGGCAGACTTTTTGTGGTCTGTTTTTTTGGTCTCTTTAATAACCTCGACAGTTGGAGGAACACTGGCTTCCGGGTATTCTTCACTGCTAAGCAATTTGTATGACGGCAAGGTCATAGATTTAAAGGTCTCCAAGGATGCAGACCCAGAGAAAGCATGACTAGGAGATGTTCTTCCCGTCTCTTCAGGCCCTTTAGTAGATCTGGAAGACAGGTTCTCTTCTGAAGCAAAGAGCTGCTTCCTCCTGAAGTTGTGAGGAGAGGGGGAAGAGGCTGGAGTGTTGTCCTTCGTCGTGCTCTCTTCCATATAAACGTGACTGCCATTGATACACAGACTAGACTTGGAAACAGGATCGCTTTTGGATTTAAGGCCACTGAATAAAGAGAGCCCTTCTTTCTTGGTGTGGCCAGTGGTTACTTGGTTTAGTTGCCTGCTGTCCAAAGTTGCTGTTTTACGAGATTTAAATACAGGAGAGGGAGAGGACTTCTCTTCCAGGGCATTTCCAAAGGCTTCTGGAAAAAATAAGCAGGGAGAAATTCAAGATGCAAGAACATCCCTTCCTCTGACACTTGCTACTGACAACCTCAGTGCTTCACAGCCATTAATGGATCGCAGCAACAGAAACATTGCAAGTGTGACTATACCAGCCACTTCCAAACCTTCTGGGTCCCCTACCACTGCCAGCCCTCAGCATACCGGATCGCACACGCCGTTCAACGACTTAAAACCACCACAGATCACTTACTGTGAAGCTGCACCGCCAACACGTGCAGACATTGCTCACACAGCCCCACAGTTTCTGTGCTATCCCAAGGCAAGCTTAGCCGTGAGCATCTAACGTCCTACGTGCATACCCACCACAGTGGACAGAAGTGACTTTCTACAGATTTGTTCAGTAAGAAGAATTTAACTAGTACCCTAAAAAGTGTGAAAAGTGCAAGCAAACCTTTGGAGAAAGGCTTTGTGCTTCATGAGTGCAGTGAGTGCCAATACTCACTTTCTGAGGTTGGAGAGGTCTCCGACTCCTCATCGTCCCATTGCGACTGGAAGTCGCTGGGCCGAAGCCGAACCCTCTCGGTGACGGGCTGCTGCGTCGGTAGGACTGACATGGACTGGGAGAGGGAAGTTTTCTGCAGGCCAGGTTTGGAAAACAGGGTTTTGAACTTTGATTTCTTCTTTTCCTTCTCAACTGACTCATCTTCGCTGTCAGCGGGGGAGTGAGTCGTGCTGGGAATGATCGCCGACGCCGTGTCGGAAAGGCCACTGCTCCTCTTCCCCTTGAGCTTGTCTTTGAGCTTGCCAAAGGGAGAGCGAGACTTGTCTTTCACGGACAGATCAAACATACTGGCTGTCATGCTGCTCCTCATAAACTGGATATCCACTTCGATCTCCCCTCTCTCCTTTTCTTTTTTCCCTGGTTTGGAGCGAAGCTTGTACCACCTGCAGAAACAAGGAGATTTCTTTTACAAACAAGTTCTTGAGAGGCATGGGTAATTTAGAACAACAGAGGGTGTTTATGTTTTAAAAACCTAACAAGCCTACAGTGAAGGAAAAAAAAAAAAGCCTTTAATCTTACAAGTACGTCATAATCATATGGCCAGGTGCCAAGGAAAACATTTCTTATCGTGAATAGAAAGTTATTAGTAAAATTTGTTTTAAAACCCAGACCAGGAAGGGTTAAAAAAAAAAAAAAAGAAAAAAAAAGAAACACAACATGGAATTCCTGTATTTCAGCTCAGCCACTCTCTCCTGTGCTTTTATCTGGCTTCCCGAAAGAAATTCTCAGAGGCTAGGACTTTGAAGTGGGTGCGAAAGCAGCAGCTTCAGAGAGCTGAAACTGGTACCAGAGAGCTTGCACACACGCCCCACGCCCTCATACCTTTCGTTCCAGCTTCTTTTCAGTTGCTATCTTAATGCCTCTTAAGCTAAGGAACCCCTAATCAACACGAGAGCCAAACCAGGCCTTACAGACCGTCTGGGGATTTCCACTCACCTCCACCAGCTCGTGACTGGAGTGCGCCAGGAAGGACGTTCATTACAGACAGAACCTTATCCCTCTCTGAAACGCAGCTCCAGAACATTAAGCACTGCATATTAAGTAAGTGCTCAGGTTATCCTAAACTGCAAAACCACCATCTGCCTGCCTCTATCACACGTGCCCAGTTACCACTCAGTGGCATTCAAATCACATTAGGGTCAGCAAAGAAAATTATCAGCACTGCACACCAATACTTTTTTGTCTATTGCGGGAGCCGCAGACTTCCCGACTCCACAGAACCGATAGGAAAGGCCGCCGGGAAAACGCCGGCGTCTTCCTCCTCGCCAGCTGCTACATGAAAATAAAGGAAGCGAACAGAGCATGCAAATCTGCCTCTCCACCAAATTTGCACTTCATTGCTTTGAAGGTGCACTGGAAGCAATGAAAGAGAATGGGAAAAGGCAACTTGCTTCAGAGAAAATTCAAAACTACTGAGCATTAACTGAAGGAGATGAATTCAGAAATCTGCTACAGAGAAACACATTAGAGGGAAATGAATGCTCAAGCACCACGCTGCAGTTCGATGTCCAGACCTGAAGTTACAAGTTACCAGGGAAGGGATTTTGTAAGGAGATGTCAGGTTTTGTCAGGTCCCTAAAGCTGCAGTCCCGCAGCGGCAGCAGCAAAGGAAGCGCAAATCCTTTGCCTTTAATGCAAGCCAGCACTGGGCACCTTTGTTCCGAACCGCGTGATTTCTAGGAGCATCCTGCGTTTGTACAGTGCCACAACAATTCATTCTGCACGCTCTGCCCCGGGGAAAAAGCAGGCCCTGTTCGAACGGCATCCAAAATACAAACTGTGCGTTCAGCGAAAGGCAGCTTCGCACCGAAACACGGCCCTCGCTTTGAGAAGCACGCCGCGACGTCCACCGCAGGGCGGCTGAAGGTAAATAACGTTCTGACAACCTCCCCCCCAAAACCACAAAATATAAAATCTTATTAATTTCATTTATTATGTTAGTGTGCGCCTGTCAATCAACATGCATTTATTTTCCAGATAAAACCAGCCCTTTACAGGTATACGTCACCACGGCAGCTAAGCGACGACAAAAGAAACAGCATTTTCAAACAGAAAATCGAGGGCTGGGGGGGCAACATTAACTAAACAGCATTTTCAAACAGAAAATCGAGGGCTGGGGGGGCAACATTAACAATTGGAAATACCAGAATTTTTCCCAGGAGCATCGAAATTGGGGTCCGTGTCCCGTCCGTCCGTCCCCCCCCCCGGTATTTTCCTTTGGCCCAGGCACAAGGAAACCAGCCCGGGAGGACCCGTGCCGCTCGCCTCCCAGGGCTGACTCCCCGAACTCCGCTGACCGAAGGCACGTCACGCGCCGCAGTGTAAACACGTTAGCGCTTGACACGACCTTAATGACGGCCAGGTTAGCCACGCCCTTAATGGTGGCCAGGTTATAATTAAGGCTTCACAAGCGGCGACGGCTTTGTCAAGACACACGACGCAGATCTCAGCTTTGGCCAAGCCGGTGTTCGTACCTGGATCTGCTCAGGTGAGCCAGAAGAGGAAGGTGACTCACCGGCCATCTCAAGCCACATTACGAGGCTGCTGACTCCCAGCAAAGCCCCCCCAGTAACCACCCTGGGATCCCGGCGCACCGCCCCAGTGTTTATGTTCAAAGGAGCAAGTATGACACAGAGCTGGCACTCGGCATTAGTCTCCTGGCTCGGTGTCCTGCTGACAACAGCGAAGCCGGCCCCTATAACACCCAATTATCTACTCTTACACATGCTTAGGCTCTGCTAAGCATTCATTAAGAAAAACACACGAACAGCTGGCTGTAGCCTGCGTTCATTCCCTGTCAGAAGGAGAAGGCATTTCAGATACATTAAGTTTCTCGGGTCAGCCTGGCTGTTCCCAGCGCACGCTGTTAGCACTCGCACGTAAATATTTAAAAATCAAAGCCAAGCACGAGGCAGGACTGGCTGAAAAAACACAGGCCGC